AACAGCAGCATTGGCCACTCAGTTCCCGAACTGCAGGGGTGGCCAGTGAACTCATGATGGTTCTACTGAACAGAGCTGTCACTGAACAACGACTTCCTACATTTGCAAATGCAGAATGAGTTAAAGGAGCTTTCATTTCTAGCCAGTTTCATTGAAATTTTACTGTTATTGGACACCTGAAGAAAAATCTGCTTTGGAGTATCAGGACCTGCCAGAAATGATCTGGAGACAAAGAAGCCTTTAGCTTTTGAATCCTCTTGCTCACAGCTGGGCTATGCCATCTCTCAGATGAAGCTGGCTCAAGTGTACTTGAAGATACACTTACCGAAAGGGTGTTGTGATGGTGAGGTGAGGCGCAAGCCTGTTTGGTATATAGAAGGTGCTCAGTAAATACTAGCTAAAATCACGGTCATAACCATCAGCATCTGGGACATACCTGTTGGCGCTATAAACACCCGGTGGAAAATCAAGGTTTATCATCTGATATGGTTTGGCTCTGTGTCCCCATCCAAATCTCATCTCCACTTGTAATCCCCATGTGTTAAGGGAGGAACCTGGTGGGAGGTGACTGGATCATGGGGGTGGTTTCCCCCATAATGTTCTTGTGATGGTGAGTGAGTTCTCACAAGATCTGACGGTTGTAAAGTGTGGTACTTCCTCCCTTACTCTCTCTTGCTGCCATGTAAGACGTGCCTCGCTTTCCCTTCACCCTCTGCCATGATTGTAAGTTTCCTGAGCCCTCCCCAGCCATGTGGAACTGCGAGTCCATTAAACCTCCTTTCTTTATAAATTACCTGGTCTTGGTTAGTTCTTTACAGCAGGGTGAAAATGGACTAATACATCATCTTTGTTAATAGAGCACAAAGTTGGAGGTGGCGGGTAGCTTCCTAAGGAAACAAAACAATAAAGGGTAAGTCTTAACTGATTCAATGAACATTCATTAACTACCGGGTTCAGAGCCGGGTGCTATCTCTGCCCTCAACGTTCTCAGAAGCGTATAGAAGATCCAAGTCTGCAGGGAGGGGATGGAAAGAGAGGGAAGGATAGTCTCAGAGGGCCTCACAGAGCAGGTAGCCCAGAACTGAGTCTTAAAGGATCTGTAGTTTCTCAGGCAAGAGAAGAGATCTCTGCACAAGGTCAGAAAGGCAGACAGCAGCCAGAGACAAAAGAGGTCCTGTGGCACTCCATGAGGCTAGAAATGTATCTCATCAGTCAAGGTAGCCTTGTGTATTAATCCCCTCGGGCTGCCAAAATAAAGTACCACAGACTGGGTGGCCTAAACAACAAAGTTATTTTCTCATAGTTCCTGGTGCTGGAAGATAAGGTGCTGGCAGGTTAGGTCTGGTTTCTCCTGAGGCCTCTCTCCTTGGCTTGCAGACGGCTGCCTTCTTGCTGTGCCCATCAGTCAGACTGGATCAGGGTCCATCTTTTTAAAGGCTCTATTTATATCTGAATACAGTCTCATTCTGAAGCACTGGGGGTTAGGAATTTGTGGGGAGACACAATTCAATCCTGTCATACCACAAAAGGACTGGCAGGAGGAGAGCCATTTTAGAAAGAGCGCCGTGTGGTGCTGAGGAGAATGGAATTTGTGGGGGGGGACTAGCGGCAGTGAGGCCGCTGAGGACCCAGGGAGGAGAACATGGAAGCCTCACCAACCTGGGAGAACAGAGGACAAGGCATGTCTTGCTGGGGCTGGGCCAGCTTGCTCAAGCCTCAAGCCCTCCCCTGCGGGGAGGAGTCCGCTTGTCTGTGTGGGTTCTCAGAACAACCCTTCCCTGGCTGGGCCTGATCACCCACTCCCAATACCTGCCAGGGTTCTTGGAACCCCCAGAAATGAACCATTTCTGCCTGAGGAACAGAAATAAAAACAATCTGCAGTGGGTTGCGAACACAAGCCCAAGGCCTGAGAGTCAATTCTTCAGAGTGGAAGAACTGGAGCTCTGGTGCCCTCCCTGGCCCATCAAGCCCCCTCTAACAAGCACCCCCTCACAAATAAAGCCCCAGCAGGAAGCCCATTAACACCTCACAAGGGCACACCTCAGGACCCTGGGGAGAAACTTCAAAAGACATCCCAGCAGCACAACAGGCCAGAAGAGCCAACAATCAACAGCACCATCCCAGGAAGCAGTGGCTGAACTGGGGAAAGGAGTCAGGCACATAAATTAAATGTCCCTCAGCCCCTATATGGAGCTCGATTTATTGCCATAGAGGCCAACTGGGCTCCTTAAGTTTAAAAAGGATCAAGGCCTCTATAAACAGTATTTAGAACTACCTTCCATGGAACAAAAACACCAAGAGAAACTCTCCCTTCTTTTTTTTTTTTTATTTTGAAAGAAAATGATCCATTTGTGAAAATCATTCCCACAACACTGAACTCTTTGCCTCAAGTATTATATAAAAGTCAACTCACTAGTCAGCCCTTTAAAAAAAAAAGTCAGATCCAATATGCCTTTCTGATTTGTTGAAATTAATTTCAGAATTAGATTTTCTCCTAAGTTGGTAGCCTGCCGAAAAGACATGCTAAAAATCTAAAATCTAATTTGTGCTAAAATTAGCTGAAAATCTGAAGCATTGTTTACAGGCTTAACACGCTTTCTTCCCCCATCCCCCTACACATACAAACGTTCCCACCAACCCTTGAACTGCAAAAAAACAGCTTGGAAAAAACCAGCGTCATAGCAAAGATGCAAATAAGGGCTATGTGAGAAAGCTTCCAATTTCTCAGGAGATTGTTAGGTGTGTAATACCAAAAGGCATCGCATATCTTATTTCCATGGAAACCCTCCAATGGCCAATATTTGGTTTTCCTTTCACTGTTAACTAACCAATCTCTTTGCCCCTAATAATAATCAAAACAGCACTTACTACATGCCAGGCCCATGTTGAACACTTTGCAAATCTTTACTCTCATTTCACTCTAATAGTAATTCTCTCAGGTAAATATTGTTGCTATTCCCATTTTATGAAGAGGAAAGCTGAGGCTCAGGGAGGTTAAGTAATTTGCTCCAAGTCACACAGGTAGAGAACAGCACAATGGAAAACCAAACCCAAGTGTGTCAGACCGAAAGCCCGTGCCCTTACTCATGAATTTTAATGGCCTGTCCTCATGCTAATTCAGAAGATGGAACCCTCTGCTTCCCAACTGGCCTTTCAGTAAAATATATTTAGAAATGTTTGCCATTTAAACTTACTTAAGGTTCAAAAAGTGATTCTGAAGAGTATACACTACGAGGTTTAAAAATATCTCTTAAGAATTAGGAGCAGTGGCTCATGCTTATAATCCCAGCACTTTGGGAGGCTAAGGCAGGAGGATTGCTTGAGGCCACAAGTTCTAGGATCACTTAAACCCAGGAGTTGAAGGCTGCAGTAAACTATGATCATGACACAGACTCTAGCCTGCATAACTGAGACTGTCTCTTTAAAAAAAAAAAAAAAGAAAAGAAAAAGGAAAGAATTCCATTGGATACCTTAATAAATTGGTCATAAGGTTTGATCTTTTTTCTGGATTGTCATTTCTTCCTTCTTTTTCTGTTTAATAATACAAGCATTTACACTATGCTGATTTACGCAAACCATGAAATCCAACTCTAGAACTTGGGTTTATAAAAACAAAGGAAAGTGTTACAACGGTTGCACGCTTTGCTCTGTTCAGAGATGAGAACCAAAACAAAATAAAAATAGGTGTGTGTCAAGAAGGAATTTGACTTAAAATTTAGGAAAACATTCTGTACCCCAGACTGTAGGTTCCTTGAGGTCAGAGATCCTATCTTATTTGACCTTTTATCCTCAGAACTCAGCACAGAACTGGGACCTAATAGGTGCTTGATAACCATCTGCCAAAATGGAGGAAGGAAGGATGGATGGATGGATGGATGGATGGATGGATGGATGGATGGATGTATAGATAGATGGATAGATGGATGGACAAATGGATGGACGGATGGACGGATGGATGGATGGATGGATGGATGGATGGATAGATGGGTGGGTGAGTGGTTCAATGGGTAAATGGGTGGAGGAGTAGGTGAGTGGATGGATGAATGGAAGGAGGGATGGAAGAATGGATGGTAAGGCGGATAAGTAGATGAATGGATGGATTTATACCAATGGTTAAATACTGAAATTCTCTGTCAAGAACTCCTTCCCTATACGTGCCTACATCTGTTTTCTGGCTGGATATATATTTTTAAACAGTTCATCCTAGATTAGGATAACTTAATGAACTAGCTGTAAAGCCTACTAGCTCTATGACTAAGGGTCAAATGCAGGCCACTATTGAACTATGACCTCCCCCAACGACAGGCAGACAAAATGCTAGCAACTATATACTCCATAGCTACCCATTTAACAAACACATGGTGAAAAAATAATTTTTCTAGAAGGCTGCCCTATCTGTTGGCACCGAAACCTATTTATAATCCTCTCCATGTGTCCTTCCTATTCTCAAGTAACTGTGGTGGGAAGCAACATTTATTCCCAAGGAAAATACTTTGGGTCAGTAACAAATCCAGAAAACAAGTCTTGCTGCAGCACCCTATGACTCCAATTGAGAGGCAAAGAAAGCGAAAACAAACATCTCTGGCTTTCCTGAACACTGCAGCTTTGAGGCTGCCAAGCAGAGCTTCTGTCTTTCACTCCAGCAAACACAGGGAGACAGGGACTTCTAAAGACAGACTATGTGAACAGGGTGAGGTGAAACCCACATGAAACTCCAGAAAACCCTTCTTCAAAGTGCCTAGGCACTGCAGGGTTTCCAGAAGACTAAAAAGCAGAAAGAAAACTTACAAACAAATAATTTTCCATATTTAACACAGAGAGGGATAACAGGTAAACAACCAGCAAAAACACTGAATAAACACCAGTGTTCTAACAAGCAACAAAATATTTCTCTTACAGTAAGGGTGAGACTACTCTGTGGTTTTACAAAAGCATTTTTAAATAAAATAGTATTTCACTTGAGAAAGCTAAAGAAAGGAATGTGAACACTCTATTTAACAAATAAGGGGCTGAAGAGACGAAGACTGAGCAGTTGTGTCTGCGTTGCTGACCTCAAGCAGCACTCGGCTTCTGCACGTAGAACCCGGGAGTAGGAGACTCAGAATTGAATCTCTTCTCCCTCCTCTCTCCTGTGAGATTTTTTTGATCTTCAGCTACATTTTCAGCTTTATGAGAAATCTTATCATCAAACACAATGGCCAGCAACGTTACCAACAAGACAGATCCTCGCTCCATGAACTCCCGTGTGTTCATTGGGAATCTAAACACTCTCATGGTCAAGAAATCTGATGTGGAGGCAATCTTTTCGAAGTATGGCAAAATTGTGGGCTGCTCTGTTCATAAGGGCTTTGCCTTCGTTCAATATGTTAATGAGAGAAATGCCCGGGCTGCTGTAGCAGGAGAGGATTGCAGAATGATTGCTGGCCAGGTTTTAGATATTAACCTGGCTGCAGAGCCAAAAGTGAACCGAGGAAAAGCAGGTGTGAAACGATCTGCAGCGGAGATGTACGGGTCAGTAACAGAACACCCTTCTCCGTCCCCTCTACTCAGCTCCTCTTTTGACTTGGACTATGACTTTCAACAGGATTATTATGATAGGATGTACAGTTACCCAGCACGTGTACCTCCTCCTCCTCCTATTGCGCGGGCTGTAGTGCCCTCGAAACGTCAGCGTGTATCAGGAAACACCTCACGAAGGGGCAAAAGTGGCTTCAATTCTAAGAGGGGACAACGGGGATCTTCCAAGTCTGGAAAGTTGAAAGGAGATGACCTTCGGGCCATTAAGAAGGAACTGACCCAGATAAAACAAAAAGTGGATTCTCTCCTGGAAAACCTGGAAAAAATTGAAAAGGAACAGAGCAAACAAGCAGTAGAGATGAAGAATGATAAGCCAGAAGAGGAGCAGAGCAGCAGCTCCGTGAAGAAAGATGAGACTAATGTGAAGATGGAGTCTGAGGGGGGTGCAGATGACTCTGCTAAGGAGGGGGACCTACTGGATGATGATGATAATGAAGATCGGGGGGATGACCAGCTGGAGTTGATCAAGGTTGATGAAAAAGAGGTTGAGGAAGGAGAGGATGACAGAGACAGCGCCAATGGTGAGGATGACTCTTAAGCACATAGTGGGGTTTAGAAATCTTATCCCATTATTTCTTTACCTAGGCGCTTGTCTGAGATCAAATTTTTCACCAGATCCTCTCCCCTAGCATCTTCAGCACATGCTCACTGTTCTCCCCATCCTTGTCCTTCCCATGTTCATTAATTCATATTTCCCTGCGCCTAGTCCCATTTTCACTTCCTTTGACGCTCCTAGTAGTTTTTGTTAAGTCTTACCCTGTAATTTTTGCTTTTAATTTTGATACCTCTTTATGACTTAACAATAAAAAGGATGTATGGTTTTTAAAAGAAAAAAAGAAAAAACAAATAAGGGAACTGAGGCTCACTCTCTAAGGTTCAATGTCTTGCTGAAGGTCACAGAACCAGGAAGTGGAAATGGACAGGTTTCCTGATTTGGGGATTTTTGCATCCTTCTCTGATATATTTCTCTTTGCTCAACAAAAACATCTGAGGCTTCACATTGAGTGCCAGGTTATATCCAGGTAGATTCCAAGCTGGGAACAGATCCCATCTTTATGACACTTCCAGATGGGATTTAAGGATTGGAGCCAGAATTCAAGTTGGCTTTCTTCACTTCAAAGCATGTGGGTCCTCCAGGAAGCGATAAGAATTCTCCTAGTATTAAGCCAGCAGGGCGAGGAGGGGCGGAGACAGAGACAAAAAACCCCACCCACACATCTGGAAACAGATACGAAACTGAATGTGGACTCTCACCATTCCATCTTAAAGCCATCTCAGAGGTAAGGGTCTGCATCTGAAGGCAAACCCTATGGTGGCCTGAACAGATATAATCTGGTTGTCTTTAGTACTATGAAGAATGCCTTTTTAAGAAGCAAATTCTCCATTTCCAATTAGTCCAGCATCGCAGCTTCTCTTATTAGATTATTATTGTTTAATTGTCCCTCTTTCTTACCCACCTGTCCCAACAAACTTGCTGTGAACAGAGCCCAAATCAAGCATGAAAACATGATCAGACTGAAATTTTCAAGTCTCTATACCACACCACCATTCTGCCTTTATCAAGGATGATAAGAAAAAATAAAACCCATCCTGCAGAGGTCCCCAAATGGGGCTGAGGATCCAAAACAGCACAGGGGGGGCCTTTCAAAATGATGCAATAGGGCCAGGCACAGTGGTTCACTTTGGGAGGCTGAGGCAGGAGGATTGCCTGAGGCCAGGAGTTCAAGACCAGCCCCAGCAACATAGCAAGACTGCCCCCTGCACCCCACAATGTCTACAAAAACATTGAAAAAATGTAGGAAAATAAAATAAAATGATGGAACACTGGGCCCACCTCTGGAGATTCAGATGAGTGGATGGTCTAGGGGGACCTGGGTATCTGATGCTTGTGCTAGGGTTATTTTAAAGTACACCAGGTAATTCTGATGATCAGCCTACCTGAGAACCCTACACCAATACACATAAATACACCTACACCAACCACCCTTGGCAAAAGTCTGTCTTAAAAACCCAGACCTCCATATGTAGACCCACTAAGTGCCAAACACAAATGGAATCTGTAATATTTATTGCTGAGGTAAAATGAGGAAATTGAGGCAAGTATAAGAAAATGAGAAGCTAATTTATTCAGCTCCCGGGTGAGGTTCTGTGGTCCAGGGAGGGACCAAAGAAGTCACGCCTGGCTGTTCAGGTCATTGGGTTTTATGGGGAGGGAAAGCGATTGATTGGCTATTGGGGAAACAAAGCGAAGGCCATTTTATTGGCTGTCAGGAAGCAGGAAATACCTGGAACTAGTTGCCATTGGTAGGCAGGCGAGACTTTGGGTAAGTGGGCCTTGATTGACTGTTGGGGAAACAAAGTGAAGGCAATTTTATTGGCTATTAAGAAGCAGGAAATACCTGGAGCTAGTTGTCATGGGTAGGCGGGCAGGACCTTGGGTAAGCAGGCCTTCCGGAGGCATACAGAGCAGACTGCTACCAGGCAGGGTCTGATGGGGCTTCTTTAAAAATTTTTCTGCAGGGTTTTTCAACAGTGGGCTGGGGGTTGGATGCATAATTTAGTGCTGAATGTGGGCTTGGGTCTGGTATGCAGAGGCGGGTACCGGGAAGCCATGCGGCAAGGCCAGATAATGAGCTTGGGTGATGACGCAGTTATCAAGCACGGAGAGAGATGGATGTGTCCGTTTAACCCTCTGCAAGGCAGCCGGCCTTACAGAATCTACACACCATGCAATCTCGTGTAATCCTTACAACATCTGCAAGGGTGGCACACTGATGCCCATTTTACAGATTTTAAAAACACAGTTCAGTGAGATAGATTGATTTGCCCAAGGATATTTGAATGTCTAGGTTTTCCCAGGAAGTTTGCTCTATGCTCCTAAATTGCATGGAAAAATCCCCTTCTAAGAAAAAGAACCAAAGCAAATACTAGAATACAGAGATAAATGTATTGGAGAAGCTTGTGCTGGTACAAAGAATATCTTGATTTAATTTCACATTATTGATTAATATAACTGGGAAAGAAATGCTAGTGGAAACAGACATCCCAATTTTATAAGCTCCAGGAGAGTCCAATTTTCCGGGCACAGAGAGGGTGATAAGATCCTGTCAGATTTCACCAAGCAGGAACTGGGCCAAACAATTTCATTAGCCTGCAGTTCAGCCTGCCCCAGCCTGGGTGACCCATTCAGCAGCCATGAGCAGGGATGAAGGCAGAAAATGCCCACTGGCAGGGAAACAAGATACACCTCACCAGGCTGGGGACAGGAGAGGCCCGTTTCAATCAGACAGTGGAGTAGACTCAAATCTACTTTCCCTCAGCGTGTACAGAATCCAAGAATCACTGTAGGATCCCCAGAGGACAGAGTGAAATACTTTGACACCCTTATGCAGGACACCTCCATCCGGCCCTCATTCTTTTAGCAGAAGGATATCATTTCTTCCCAGAATGCTTTGGGGCAGAAGCTAGATGCAGTGACCTTCCTGGAGTTAGGTCAGCGCTAAGCGCCAGGCCAGCTAGCTCTCTATGACCGCCTCACTCACTCAGTGTATTCTTGGGCAAGTCATTTCACGGTGAGCCCGAGTTTATAAAATGAAGAGGTAAAAAAAAATCACCTTCAAATTCCTTGCCATCTGTGTCAATAGACAAAACCAAGATCCATAGTCACAACGAAGCTGACCAGATAAACAGGGGGATTGAATCCCAAAAGGCGGACCACAGAGAAGGGAGAAAAACCATCCTGCGTGTAAGGATATTCACCCAGGCTCACCTGTTGTGGGTATGCATTGCAGAAAAGCATGCAGATAAGAGGAAAATAGTTATATGGGAAAAGGAAAAGGTAGAGACCCAGAGAAAAAGAATGTTCGCCTTAAATGTCCCACCAGGGTGGACTCAGATACAATGGTCAATCTCCAAATCTTCCTTCGGATCTCCAAGTCGTTCAGCTACTCCTAGAACAAATATGTATTGAGTAGCGTCACTGGGAGACAGGACACTGAGCTCAACTATTATCCTTATCCTTATGATGATTACTATTTAATTAGGGCAGCTGGGGGAAAAAAAAGACATGTCTAATTAAGTGATGCTCTGATTCCCTAAATAGATTTTTTAAATCCACCATTAAGATTCAGAATCTGTTCAATTCTTTCCCACTGGACTCGCACATTTCAAAGGAATATCAGGCAGTCGACTTTAAAACAAAAGGACCACAAGTCTACAGGGCCAGAGAACAGAAAGGGTAGCTGCACACGCCACTGGCTGCAGACTTTCTGTCTGACTTCCTGAGCAGATACAGGCAAAGGCCAAGAGCCCTCAAGGGAATTCAAGAGCCCCTACCATCCCCCATCCCCTGCTGTGAGCCTGGGACAGATTGAGTTCCAGCCACAGAACAGTTCACTGCACTGGCTTGATGGACAGGGCTTATCCTGAACACTGCTAGGATCATGTCCCAGGAAAAAGAGCCTATGCGTGAACAAAATTAGGCCATCCTAAGAATCCCCTTCAACAAGTGCTTTAGAATTTCAAATGCTAGAACCATCTATCCTATAGTAGACTGACAGGTTGTTTTTTTAAAAAAACAAAAACAAAAAAAACCCCAGCCCTTCTTAAACTAAGGACTGCTGCTCCTACCCAGCAAACTAATCACTAACTAGTCCTCTGCCTCTCTCAGAATGCACCACGTCCACTCCTTTAGGCTTTTAAAGCATTTACTTCTCCATTAGCTTATGTGGCATGTAATATCCTGGGAGATGAGCAGAGCAGGTGGCATTGGGCCCACTGGACAGATAAAGAAACTAATGCTCAGTGGTTCAGAGACTCTCCTGAAGCCTCCCAGCTGATAAGCAGTGAACTGGTTTTGCTACCTCATCCCTTACTGCCTGTAGCATAGGTGTGCACAGAGACAACAGACACCTTTCATCAGTTCTGACATCAGCAACTAGGAATGAGGCTGAGGCATAAGGAACACGGAGCTCCTGCACCACCCCGTTCCCTGATGGAGGTCCAGTACCTTGCACAGCTGTGCCTCCTAAATTAAACACACGCACTCTCCAACAGTGGTTTCCTAGGAAAACCAGACTGCTGTCCTTTAGGAACCAACCCTGCACCTGCAGAAAAGCCTTCAACAAAACCAACTGCAAAGGCTTTGCCCCAAGAGTTCTCAGAACAGCTGCCCTGGTCCTGCCACAGCACAGGAAATCATTCCATCTTGGCAAACCCCATTGCAATCGTGTTTCCACACTGCAGACTTAGGGAAATGAAAATATCAATTTGAGCCAAGCAAATCTAACAGGCTATCATGCAAAACGCTGGTGTCAAATCAAGCCTCAACCAGTAATTATCCATCAAGCAGGGCCATAATAACTGGCTCCCTGAGTCACTTCGCTGGGAGGGAGGGAGGTGGTTACTAAAGAGGGAGTTGGAATTGGACAAGTGACAGCCTTAAGAGAAAGGCATTCATCTCACTTTTCTACAGATTCTTCTACAGGTTAGGGGGTTCTACCCACACCTCTCCCCACTGAGGTCAAAACCCATCATGTGACTGCCTTGAGGCACTGATGATTCTTAACGCACTGGGGCAGATTACTGTATTGTACCCTCCTCTAAGTTTAAAGGAAGTTGTCTTTAGCTAATGGTCTGAAAGGTGCTTCCTTTCCCAGCTGCTGTCATTAAACTAGCAAAACATTAATTTAAACTCTTACGGTAAGGGGGTTTCCTGGAAATTCCTTAAAGGAAGTCTATAATTGACTGTGTGGTTAAACATCATACAGACAGCACAAAAAGCCGAATCATATACAATTAGTGAAGGCTCAAGTCCCCTTGTAGACAAGTAGCACTTTTGTTCATAAGAAGTATTGTGCCATACCCCTGTTTAGGGTTGGGACTATTATGAAGAAAAAAACAGACACACACACACACACACACACACACACACACACACCCTTTGACGCTTGGGCCTCAAAGCTCAACATGACATTTGTTCCAACTCTGTAATTTGATTGAAGAGAAGAAAGAGTTAAAAAAAAAAAGATGAAGAAAAGATTTGAAGAAAACAACAGTTTCTATTAAAATGCATAGCACCATCTTTCAAAAGATGAAAGGACTTAGTGGAAATACCATAAACCTCAGAATTACACAGTAAATGGATTCTTTTGTTTAAGGCAAATTAATACTGGATCACAGATTAAAAAAATAAGGCCTCCCAACATCCCCAGCTGACGGATGCTACATTCATTATGGAGTTTGGGAGACTGCCTGTTGACTATTTTGTAGAAAAATGAATGAAGGGTTGGTTATAATCACCTTCCCGCTCAAATCCTGTCTCATTACCTGAAGTGATTTTCCTGCAAAGTGACACACAAATGATTTTCTAGTCTTCACTTTCTTCTCATAAGCCACCACATGCAGGGCGAGGGAAAGTCCAGGGTGTATTAACCAAGCCAGGGAATCTGTCCGGGGTCCTTCAAAGTGCTTCCCAGAACACAGTGTATGCACTTTATGTCTGCCTAGGTCTTTATCACAGTCCAGTTGAATCTGGGACAAAGGCAACTGACAACCTCTGAATATCCCTTACTGAGCCCAAATAATTACTGAAGGAAATACACCATGATAACATGTGTAGCATCCAACTCTTTCCTCTTACTCACACGCTCCTGTTATACAAATG